TTCTGACCGCTTTATTGGATAGTTGAAATCGGTAAATGGGCGGTTTCTTGTAAGCACTCAATAGACAAAATGGAGTTCTAGTGAAATAGATATGATTTTTGCCAACTAGTACACTGGAATTGGAGGAAAATAGGGCTCAAAGTGGGCGAAATTGCCGATGCGTAAAACATCGTCGAGACCGCTAACTTTGCGAGAGCATAATTCCGTAAGTTTTCCATCAAATGTCATACTTTTGGTGTCATTATGATCGGGAAAAGATTCTCTATCATTTCATGAGAAAAAAATTTTTTTTTTTTTTTTTCCGGAAAAATTTTCGACCCTGAGAACGAGTTTAACCCCTTCAGGGTCCAAGGCCCAAATCTGAAGTGGTGCCCCAGTGTCCAAGAATTTTCAAAAAAAAAAATTTGTTATTTTTTCTTATGGAATGGTAGAGAATCTTTTTGTGAAGGTAATAAAACAAAAAGTACGAAATTTGATGGAAAACTGACGAAATTATGCTCTCGCAAATTTTGATGTGTCAGTGATATTTACGAATCGGCGATTTTGCCGACTCTGACTCCCATTTTAGGCTAATTACATTATTCCAGTCAACCAAATTCTTAGCTATTTCACTAGTATTACTTCTATTCTATCGATTGAGCACAAGAAATCGCCAAGTTAACTGTTTCAACTACAAATTAAAGATCAGAAATTGTTAATTTGCCCAATTTAACACAAAGTTCAAAATATTCCAATTTCAAAATAGGGTCCAGAATAAACAATGTAGATATTCCTGGCACTAAACTAACATTTCCTCTGTTCATTAGTTATGTTTTGAGGCTTTACAAATAAATTCCATTTTGATTTTTTATTCACATAATGAATTTTTATTCACACCAAAAAATAGAAGATTTACTGTTATGCAATATTGTGATAATTGTATAAATATCATCACCACATTTGTGAATGTATATTAGACCCACCAGCTGGCGTGTATTAGACGTGTGAGGTCGTTTGTTTAGTCTTGAATATCGGCAAAAATTTAACATTTCTGCTACTTTGAGCTCAGTTTCAAGCCATTTCCATTGCTAAAACCAATCAAAATCATCTCTATTTCTGTAATATGTCTTCCATTCTATCAAATGCGACCAAGAAATTGCAAACACAACTGTAAAAAACATACGAAAAAACACTCCAAAGTCGCTGTTTTAATCGAAAAATCATGACTTCAGTTTTTTTTCTCTCATTATACACGGTGTGCTACAGGATCTGTTTTATGTGGTGCACACATACCACATAGATGTATTCTCTCATATCTAGGCCCAAATGTACCACTCACAGTTTATCAGAGTGAGCTGAGCTCATGACGTAGATCTACAGTTTGGACCCTGAACGTAAAGCCGTAGATCTATGGGACGGACCCTGAAAGGGTTAGAAGAGGGCCTCTCGACCCTGAAAGGGTCAATATCATCTTTGAACCATTTATAACATTTCTGGTATATTTTTAAATATTCATACAGTAGTGTACTGTTTTTTTTTTTTTTAAACAAGTCAGCAGTCCCCCACTGAGGCAGGGTGACCCAAAAAGAAAGAAAATCCCCAAAAAGAAAATACTTTCATCATCATTCAACACTTTCACCTCACTCACACATAATTACTGTCTTTGCAGAGGTGCTCAGAATACAACAGTTTAGAAGCATATATGTATAAAGATACACAACATATCCCTCCAAACTGCCAATATCCCAAACCCCTCCTTTAAAGTGCAGGCATTGTAATTCCCATTTCCAGCACTCAAGTCCGGCTATATAAAAATAACCGGTTTCCCTGAATCCCTTCACTAAACATTACCCTGCTCACACTCCAACAGCTCGTCAGGTCCCAAATACCATTCGTCTCCATTCACTCTTATCTAACACGCACACATACGCTTACTGGAAGTCCAAGCCCCTCGCCCACAAAACCTCCTTTACTCCCTCCCTCCAACCTTTTCGAGGACGACCCCTACCCCGCCTTCCTTCCCCTACAGATTTATACGCTCTCCATGTTATTCTACTTTGATCCATTCTCCCTAAATATTTAGACCAAACCACCTCAACAACCCCTCTTCAGCCCTCTGACTAATACTTTTATTAACTTCACACTTCCTAATTTCCACACTCTGAATTTTCTGCATAATATTTACACCACACATTGCCCTTAGACAGTACATCTCCACTGCCTCCAACCACCTCATAGCTGCAGCATTTACAACCCAAGATTCACACCCATATAAGAGTGTTGGTTCTAACATACTTTCATACATTCCCTTCTTTGCCTCCATAACGTTTTTTGTCTCCACATATACCTCAACGCACCACTCGCCTTTTTTCCTTCATCAATTCTATGATTAACCTCATCCTTCATAAATCCATCCACTGACACGTCAACTCCCAAATATCTGAAAACATTCACTTCTTCCATACTCCTCCTCCCCAATTTGATATCCAATTTTTCTTTATCTAAATCATTTGATACCCTCATCACCTTACTCTTTTCTATGTTCACTTTCAACTTTCTACCTTTACACACACTCCCAAACTCATCCACTAACCTTTGCAATTTTTCTTTAGAATCTCCCATAGGCACAGTATCATCAGCAAAAAGTAACTGTGTTAATTCTCATTTTGAAGTTGATTCCCCATAATTTAATCCCACCCCTCTCCCGAACACCCTAGCATTTACTTCTTTTACAACCCCATCTATAAATATATTAAACAACCATGGTGACATTACACATCCCTGTCTAAGACCTACTTTTATCGGGAAGTAGTCTCCCTCTCTTCTACACACCCTAACCTGAGCCTCACTATCCTCATAAAAACTCTTTAAAGCATTTAGTAACTTACCACCTATTCCATATACTTGTAACATCTGCCACATTGCTCCCCTATCCACTCTATCATATGCCTTTTCTAAATCCATAAATGCAAGAAAAACTTCCCTACCTCTATCTAAATACTGTTCACATATATGCTTCAATGTAAACACTTGATCTACACATCCCCTACCCACTCTAAAACCTCCTTGCTCATCCGCAATCCTACAGTCTGTCTTACCTCCAATTCTTTCAATAATAACCCTACTGCACACTTTTCCTGGTATACTCGATAAACTTATACCTCTATAATTTTTACAATCTCTTTTGTCCTCCTTCCCTTTATATAAAAGGACTATACATGCTCTCTGCCAATCCCTAGGTACCTTCCCCTCTTTCATACATTTATTAAACAAAAATACCAACCACTCCAATACTATACCCCCCCCCCTTGCTTTTAACATTTCTGTCATGATCCCATCAGTTCCTGCTGCTTTACCCCCTTTCATTCTATGTAATGCCTCACGCACCTCCCCCACACTCACATCTGCTCTTCTTCACTCCTAAAATATGGTATACCTCCCTGGCCAGTGCATGAAATTACCGCCTCCCTTTCTTCGTCAACATTTAAAAGTTCCTCAAAATATTCTCGACATCTACCCAATACCTCCATCTCCCCATCTACTAACTCCCCTACTCTTGCTTTTAACTGACAAATTCATTCATTCCCTAGGCTTTCTTAGCTTGTTTAACTTCCTCCAATTTTTTTTCTTATTTTCATTAAAATTTCTTGACAGTGGCTCTCCCACTCTATCATCTGCTCTCCTTTTGCACTCTCTCACTGCTCTCTTCACCTTTCTTTTACTCTCCATATACTTTACTCTTCTTATAACACTTCTGCTTTGTAAAAACCTCTCATAAGCTATGTTTTTTCTCTTTTATCACACCTTTTACTTCATCATTTCACCAATTACTCCTCTTTCCTCCTGCACCCACCCTCCTATAACCACAAACTTCTGCCCCAAGTTCTATTACTGCATTTTTATAACTATTCCAACCATCTTCAATCCCCCCACTATTCATACCTGCACTTGCCCACCTTTCTGCCAATAGTTGCTTATATCTCACCCAAACTTCCTCCTCCCATAGTTTATACAATTTCACCTCCCTCTTACTTGTTGTTGCCATTTTCCTCTTGTCCCATCTACCTCTTACTCTAACTGTAGCTACAACTAAATAACGATCAGATATATCAGTTGACCCTCTAAAAACGTGTACATCCTGGAGCCTACCCATCAACCTTTTATCCACCAATACATAATCTAACAAACTTTCATTATGTGCAATATCATACCTTGTATATTTATTTATCCTCTTTTTCATAAAATATGTATTACTTATTACCAAACCTCTTTCTACACATAGGTCAATTAAAGGCTCCCCATTTTCATTTACCCCTGGCACCCCAAATTTACCTACTACTCCCTCCACAACATTTTTACCCACTTTAGCATTGAAATCCTCAACCACAAGTACTCTCACACTTGGTTCAAAACTCCACACGCATTCAGCTCTAATATGCATTATTTAGGCATGCATACTGGTCAGAGAGCCTGTCCTAAGTCAGAGCTGTCAGTAATTGAGTATGTTGCTAAGTGAGGAGAGGCTGTATTTAGAAACAATGGAGCAGAATAGTTTGATCAAGAGGGTGTATCAATGCAGGATGGATGACAGGAGGCTGGAAAAATGGGGTGTATCAAGCCAGGGTGGATGACAGGAGGCTGGAGGGACAGGGTAAAGAAGTTCTGAGTGGTAGGAGCTTCAGTATTCACTAGGCATGTGAGAACAGGTTAGATCAGAATAAAAAAAAAAGTGTTTTATTTGAAATTTGATGTTCAGCTGGAGTGTGAGAACATTAACATTTACAATGGGATTCAAGGAAATCAGTAAGTTGAACTTGTGTTCTGGAGGTGGGAAGTGCAATGCCTGCACTCAAGAAGGATTGCATGGGGTTGCTGCTGAACTGTGATGCTCATGCAATTCTTGCAAGACAGATACTAAATGAATGATGAATATCTTTCCTTTTCTAGGTCACCATGCTTTAGTGGGAGACAGATGATGTGAACAAAAACAACAAACTGTAAAGAAAACTTTAATGATATACCTGGTTTGTTAAGTGTTCCTGTTGGGGTGCTGTCTGCTGAACTGCTGGGTGATGGTGACCCTTTCTTGGCCAACACAGCTGCAGTTTTCTCTGGCCGAGGAGGCTTTCCCTTTAACAGAAAGGTTAAAATGATACTACAGTATTAGGTAAATAAATGATCACCAATTATTATACAGGCAACCATTAACTTAATTATCCCTATTACAAAATGCCACATTCAACTTAAGGGCATAGGAGGAGAAATTTTTTCCTGGATAGAGGCATGGTTGACAAATAGGCAGCAGAGAGTTTGCATAAATGGGGAGAAATCAGAGTGGGGAAGCGTCACGAGCGGTGTTCCACAGGGGTCAGTGTTGGGCCCCCTGCTGTTCACAATCTACATAAACGACATAGATGAGGGCATAAAGAGCGACATCGGCAAGTTTGCCGATGACACCAAAATAGGCCGTCGAATTCATTCTGACGAGGACATTCGGCACTCCGGGAAGATTTGAATAGACTGATGCAGTGGTGGGAGAAGTGGCAGATGCAGTTTAATATAGACAAATGCAAAGTTCTAAATGTTGGACAGGACAATAACCATGCCACATATAAACTAAAAATGTAGATCTAATATTACGGATTCGAAAAAGATTGGGAGTTCTGGTTAGCAGTAATCTGAAACCAAGACAACAGGCAATAGTGTTCGCAAAAGCAAATAGAATCCTTGGCTTCATATCAAGAAGCATAAATAATGGGAGTCCTCAGGTTGTTCTTCAACTCTATACATCCTTGGTTAGGCCTAAATTTAGATTATGCTGCACAGTTTTGGTCACCGTATTACAGAATGGATAAAAAATTCTCTGGAAAATGTACAAAGGAGGATGACAAAGATGATCCCATGTATCAGAAACCTTCCCTATGAGGATAGACTAAGGGCCCTGAAAACTGCACTCTCTAGAAGACGTAGAATTAGGGGGGATATGATTGAGGTTTATAAAAATGAAGACAGGAATAAATAAAGGGGATGGAAATAGTGTGCTGAAAAAATCTAGCCTAGACAGGACTCGCAGCAATGGTTTTTAAGTTGGAAAAATTCAGATTCAGGAGGGATATAGGAAAGTACTGGTTTGGTAATAGAGTTGTGGATGAGTGGAACAAACTCCCAAATACCGTTATAGAGGCCAGAACGTTGTGTAGCTTTAAAAATAGGTTGGATAAATACATGAGTAGATGTGGGTGGGTGTGATTGGACCTGATAGCTTGTGCTAACAGGTCGGGTTTCCGTGTTTTCCCCCCTTAAGCAATGTGGGCCTGACCTGACTAGGTTGGGTGCATTGGCTTAAGCGGGAGGGACTTGGACCTGCCTCGCATGGGCCAGTAGGCCTTCTGCAGTGTTCCTTCGTTCTTATGTTCTTATGTTCTTATGAAAAATGTTTAAAAACTGAATAAAAACTACATTAACATATAAGAGAGAGAGAGAGGAGAGAGAGAGAGAGAGGAGAGAGAGGAGAGGGGAGAGAGAGAGAGAGAGAGAAAAGAGAGAGAGAGAGAGAGAGAGAGAGAGAGAGAGAGAGAGAGAGAGAGTGAGTGAGTGAGTGAGTGAGAGAGTGAGAGAGTGAGAGAGTGAGAGAGTGAGAGAGTGAGAGAGTGAGAGAGTGAGAGAGTGAGAGAGTGAGAGAGTGAGAGAGTGAGAGAGTAGAGAGGAGAGAGAGAGAGAGGAGTGAGAGAGAGTGAGAGAGTGAGAGTGGAGAGTGAGTGAGTGAGTGAGTGAGTGTGTGTGTGTGTGTGTGTGTGTGTGTGTGTGTGTGTGTGTGTGTGTGTGTGTGTGTGTGTGTGTGTGTGTGAGAGAGTGTGAGTGTGAGTGTGAGTGTGAGTGTGTGTGTGTGTGTGTGTGTGTGTGTGTGTGTGTGTGTGTGTGTGTGTGTGTGTGTGTGTGTGTACTCACCTAATTGTGGTTGCATGGGTTAAGACTCAGCTCCTGGCCCTGCCTCTTCACTGACCACTACTGCGTCCTCCCTCTCCCTGCTCCATGAGCTTTATTGTACCTCGTCTTAAAACTATGTATGGTTCTTGCCTCCACTACATTCCACTTCCTAACAACTCTGTGGCTAAAGAAATGCAGTGGACCCCCGGTTTATGATATTAAGTATTTCATTCCAGAAGTATGTTCAGGTGCCAGTACTGACCGAATTTGTTCCCATAAGGAATATTGTGAATTAGATCAGTCCATTTCAGACCCCCAAACATACACATACAAATGCACTTACATAAATACACTTACATAATTGGTCGCATTGGGAGCTGATCGTAAACCGGGGGTCCACTGTACTTTCTAACATCCCTTTGGCCCATCTGAGTCTTCAACTTCCAACTGTGACCCCTTGTTTCCGTGTCCCATCTCTGAACATCCTGTCTCTGTCCACCTTATCTATTCCAAGCAGTATTTTGTATGTCGTTATCATGTTGCCCCTGGCCCTCATGTTCTCCAGTGTCGTCAGATCGATTTCCCTTAAGCCTTGTTGCAAACCTTTGCACTTTCTCTAATTTCTTGACATGCTTGACCAGGTGTGGGTTCCAAACTGGTGCTGCATACTCCAGTATGGACCTGATGTACAAAGTGTTGAACAATTCCTTAGTGAGGTATCGGAACGCTATTCTCAGGTTTGCCAGGAGCCCATATGCCGCAGCAGTTATTTGGTTAATGTGGGCTTCCAGTGATGTGCTCAGTGTTATATGCACCCCCAGATCTTTCTCCCCGAGTGAGGTTTGCAGTCTTTGGCTGCCTAGCCTATACTCTGTCTGCGGTCTTCTTTGCCCTTCTCCAAATTTCATGACTGCATTTGGCGGGGTAAAATTCTAGGACACAGTTGCTGGACCATGCATCCAGCCTGTCCAGGTCTCTTTGTAGACCTGTCTGGTCCACATCTGATTTAATTCTCCTCATTAACTTCAAAATAGCACTGGTCCTAGGACTGACCCCTGTGGGACACCCGCTCGTTACAGGCGCCCACTGTGATACCTCACCACGTACCATGACTCGCTGTTGTCTCCCTGTCAGGTATTCTCTGATCCAGTGCAGTGCCTTTCCTGTTATACCTGCCTGATCCTCTAGCTTCTGCACTAATCTCTTGTGAGGAACTGTGTCGAAGGCCTTCTTGCAGTCCAAGAAAATGAAAACGACCCACCCCTCCCTCTCACGTCTTACTTCAGTTACCTTGTCATAAAACTCCAGTAGGTTTGTGACACGGATTTGGCTTCCATGAATTCATGCTGGCTGTCATTTATAACCTTGTTCCGTTCCAGGTGCTCCACCACTCTCCTCCTGATAATCTTCTCCATGACTTTGCATACTGTACACATCAGTGACACTCGTCTATAGTTTAGTGATTCGTTTCCGTCCCCTTTCTTAAAGATGGGGATCACATTTGCTGTCTTCCATACCTCAGGTAGTTGCCCAGTTTCAAGGGATGTGTTGAAGACTGTAGTTAGTGGCACATAGTGTCTCTGCTCCCTATCTAAGGACCCACGGAGAGATGTTGTCCGGTTCCACCGCCTCTGAGGTATCAAGGTCACTTAGAAGCTTCTTCACCTCCCCCTCGGTTGTGTGTATTTCATCCAACACTTGTTGGTATATCCCTTGTTGGTGTACCCCTCTGTTTTTTTTCTTTCCAGTGTCATTTCTGCCTCCACTGTAAATACTTCTTGAAATCTTGTGTTGAGCTCCTCACATACTTCTTGGTCGTTTCTTGTGAGCTCCCCGCTTTCTTTCCTCAGCCTGATTACCTCGTCCTTGACTGTTGTCTTCCTCCTGATGTGGCTGTAAAGCAGTTTCGGCTCAGACTTGACTTTCAGTGCTGTCATTTTCGTACTGCTGCTGACTCCCTCCTGACTAATCTCTATTTTCCTGGGTCCTTTGCCTTCGGTACTTTTTCCATTTTCTAGCACACTTAGTTGTTGCCTCCCTACATCTTCGGGTAAACCAGGGGCTCATTCTGGCCTTCCTATTATTTCTGTTACCCTTGGGAACAAACCTTTCCTCTGCCTCTTTGCATTTTGTTCTTATGTAGTCCATCATTTTGTTTACTGACTTTCCTACCAACTCTCTCTCTCACTGAACCTCTTGCAGGAAGGTCCTCATGCCTGTGTAGAGTCCCCTTTTATAGTTTGGCTTTTCCCTTTCTACTCCTGTTGCCCTCAGAACCACATGGTCGCTAGCTCCAAAGGGCCTTTCATATGTGGTGTCCTCAATGTCTGAGCTAGTCAGGGTGAACACAAGATTGAGTCTTCCTGTTCATCTTCCCCTCTCTCTCTGGTAGTGTCCTTAACATGTTGGTGCATGAGGTTTTCCAGGACCACATCCATCATCTTGGCTCTCCATGTTTTGGGACCCCCATGTGAGTGTGTGTGTGTGATCTCATCTAATTCTACTCACCTAATTGTGGTTTCAGGGGTCGAGACTCAGCTCCTGGCCTTGCCTCTTCACTGACCACTACTGGGTCCTCCCTCTCCCCACTCCATGAGCCTCATTGTACCTCGTCATAAAACTATGTATGGGTCCTGCCTCCACTACATCACTTGCCAGGCTATTCCACTTCCTAACAATTCTGTGGCTGAAGAAATACTTCCTAACATCCCTTTGGCTCATCTGAGTCTTCAACTTCCAATTGTGACCCCTTGTTTCTGTGTCCCATCTTTGGAACATCCTATCTCTGTCCACCTTATCTATCCCATGCAGTACTTTGTATGTCGTTATCATGTCGCCCCTGACCCTCCTGTCCTCCAGTGTTGTCTGACTGATTTCCCTTAACCTTTCTTCATAGGACATTTCCCTTAGCTCTGGAACCAGCCTTGTTGGAAACCTTTGCACTTTCCCTAATTTCTTGACGTACGTACGTACGTACGTGTGTGTGTGTGTGTGTGTGTGTGTGTGTGTGTGTGTGTGTGTGTGTGTGTGTGTGTGTGTGTGTGTGTGTGTGTGTGTGTGTGTGTGCACGCACGTGCTCACCTAGTTGAGGTTGCAGGGGTCGAGTCCAAGCTCCTGGCCCTGCCTCTTCACTGGCTGCTACTGGGTCACTCTCCCTGCACCATGAGCTTTATCATACCTCTGCTTAAAGCTATGAATGGATC